AATGTCATTTTGTGATTTTAACTTTGTTTTAAACTCAGCACGGAGAGGAAAAAGGCAACATTGTAAAAGGACTAATTAGTAGAACTGCCTGCTATTGAAAAGCCACGTGCCCCCGCTGGATGTGCTTCTTCATTTATGTAAGCCCCAGTTTTAATTTATAATTTTGTTTTCATGTTGTGAAGAAAGAACACTCGGGCCAAATGGGAGGCACTGATCTAGTCTATTCTTCTTTCCTGTTGCACTGGCGTTTTTGTTCTTCCGTATTTTTTAATTTTCAACTCATTCAGGCAGCTCAAATGGAATTGGCGATGCTTTTGTGTGAGCGGCACGTCGCTGATGTGTCTCAGCTGCTGTGTGAACTTGTCTCTCGTCAATATGAGTTAGGAAACTCGTCGCAGCAGGGAGCACGAAGGAATGGGAGGGATTGACGTGATTTTTTTAATACAGTAGGAGCATCAGAAAGAAAACGAGAGCACTTTGTTAGAAACAATGTCTTTACAGTATAACTTCCACTTGGGCCGCTTGTTCAAAGAATGATTAATGCATGAACTGGTAGCTTGTACCGGACGTCACAGGCAATTTACATGCACAAACTAATAAACCTCTTAGAGCAAAAAGCCACTCTGAGATTTTTCCTTTAGCTGCAGCTCGACAGATTGACCTCTTCTTTGTCTCCGATGGCTGCCGTGTAGAATCTGGTCAGGTCAGACTCAATCTGTCTGAGTGAGGGTTTTTTCCTGTCTGTTCAGCCGCACGCATCTTTCTCATTATGTCTCTTTCTGCGAGCTTTGTTCGGTGCTCAGAGGTTTCTGTATTCACTGATATCTGTCTGTGCATATGAAGGTCAGTGTCAACGCTCGTCTGCAAGGAGGTTTCGGAAAGAATAAAATGTCATGCACATCCTGGCACTTCCAGTGWTTTTTTGTTTTCTGGTTTTCTAATGATGATAAAGTAAATATATTAACTGCTTTTAACATCTTACACAACATGCTTTACAGTCTAAGATAGCTTTTCAAGTGATCCCTTCAACACAAGTTCAACATTTTAACTTTTGAATTAAAAGGATATTTTGCATCATTTAAATGGAAAAGGTTATGAACAATTGATATTGTACCTAAAGCTAGATTTCGCTGCTAAAATTCAGCACCTGACCTTGATTATGCTGACCACAGGTGGTGGGCTCATGAGAAAAAAAAAAAGCTTCCAGTAGCTGATTTTTTGGGGCTTGGCTCAACCAAACCTCTAAAACTAAAGCTCAACCATCAAGAGTTTAAAGGGATCCACGATTGGTTGTAACATTAGACTTTATTTGAAAACATATATTTTAACTGTACAGTC